CCACTGCTCATTCACCTGGCCTTAAAAGGATTTTTTAAAAGGTGCTCAGTGGTTAAAAGTCAGCTTAATTAAAAGATAATTTTCAATATGTGTGTATATGTGCATGCGTGTGTGTTCTTGTATTTAAAAGGCCTTCAAGTTTTTATTTTGCTCCTAGGATCTCGTTCCTTTTTTGAGCGAAAGTTTTCTTCTTTTCAGTTGACTGAATTCTGTTTTCTAAATTTACTGGTGCTGTCTCTCCTTTCTCTTGCACCCTCTGCTGCATGAGGGACTTCAAATAGTTTATAATAGCCTGGGATTTTTTTTGTTTTGTTTTTTTTCCTTTTTTAATTTTAATTTTTTTTATTATACTTTAAGTTTCCAGGGTACATGTCGCATAACGTCGCAGGTTTGTTACAATATGTATACTTGTGCCATGTTGGTGGGCGCACCCATCAACTCATCAGCACCCAATCACTCATCCTTTATATCAGGGTGAACCTCCCAGTGCAATCCCTCCCCCCTCCCTCCTCCCCCATAATAGGCCCCGGGTTGTGATGTTCCCTTTCCCGAGTCCAACTGATCTCATTATTTCAGTTCCCACTATGAGTGAGACATGCGGGGTTTGGTTTTCTTTCTTGTGATAGTTGTTGGAGAATGATGGTTTTCCAGCGGCATCCATGTCCCTACAAGGACACAACTCATCCTTTTTATGGCTGCATAGTATTTCATGGTGTACCATGTGCCACATTTCTTAATCCAGTCTGTCACTGATGGGACATTTGGGTTGATCCAAGTCTTTTGCTTATTGGTTGAATAGCTGCCGCAATAAACATATGTGGCAGTGGTCTATAGCAGCATGATTTATAATCCTTTGTGTGGGTATTACCCAGTAAATGGGGATGGCTGGGTCATATGGTACTTCTAGTTCTAGGATCCTTGAGGAATCGCCATACTGTTTTCCATAATGGTTGAAACTAGTTTACACTCCACCAACAGTGGTAAAAGTGTTCCTATTCTCCACATCCTCTCCAGCACCTGTTGTTTCCTGACTTTTTAATGATTGCCATTCTAACTGGTGTGAGATGGTATTTCCATTGTGGTTTTGATTTGCATTTCTCTGATGGCCAATGATGACGAGCATTTTTTCATGTGGCTGTTGAATAGCCTGGGGTTTCTTAAAGAAGATGGAGAAGGTGCCAGACTCCCTTTGGGAGAGACCTGTTTTTCCTTATGGAACCCTGGGAGTGTAAGCAGACAAGTTCATCTCAGCTCTTAAATTGCTTCCTTTCGTGTTGTGTTACCTGATTTATTGACTAGAATAGTTATTGCAACAGAGGCTACTCTTGTGTTTCTAAGGAAGAGTGTAGTTTAGACACTTAGAAATGCCTTTGTTTAAAAAGAATTTTTTTAAGTGCACTGTAAAAGCATCACATGGTCTAGCCTCATAATAATTCTCCCTTTTTGGAGACCCAGGATTCAGTGTGGGCGCTGCCCAGAGCTCAGAGATCCAGTTAAAAGATAGGTAGGTAGTTCCTAGCTAAATAAAACTGGTCTCCTCATACAATCTTATGATAGATTTCTATAAACTTTATGTTTGATTTGGCATCTATCTTTAATCTCCCTCTAGCACCATTAGACTTTTTCTCTCAGTACTTTAAGATGTAAATTTTGCTATCTGATTTTTTGTCTAAGAGTTGTTTTCCTTCAATATGCAGATTTAGGGCTATTTATCTGACAACTGCCTAGGGTAGCAAACAGATTATTGAGAATTTGAAAGTCTAAGACAAAAAAAAGTTTTTATGAATCTATAAGATGTACTTCTATTGGCATGCCTAATTATCTATGTATTTATGTGTTGTGTACACAATGGTTTACTGCATACATATATATGAGCTCTAATTAATTGACAAGAAAAAAGCGCTTGAATCAAATACTTTATCAGGAAAAAAGACTAGTCAAAAGCTTTTTCAAGGTTATATAACTTAAGTAAAATTTTAAATAAATAAGTTGGCTTTAAAATTATTGGTAATGTTAGAAATGTCTTGAGAACTCCCAGAATATATTTTTATTTGCATTTATTGATCAAGCAATTTTATACTTATCCCTGCCAAATACTATAAGAGGTCAAAATTTGGCATAAGGGGTTACAAAACTATAAACCCAGCCCAAAACAGAATGATCTTTGCTTGTGTAATATTTAATAAATAAGATATTGATATTGGTTTAAGGAAAATAGCTACATCTTGAATTATTCAGTAAAATTACTATAACTTCTAATTTTGTGGCTTTAGGCAGTTTAGTCCACAGGCAGTAAGGTTTGTTTTGGGAAAGGACTGTTATCATCTTGTTTCAAAACTAAAGTAGAAATTAAATTCCTCCCAAAGTTAGTTTGGCCCACGTCCAGGAATGAACAAGGACAACTTGGAGGTTAGAAGCAAGATGGAGGAGTTGGTTAGGTCATATCTTTTTAACTGTTTCGGTTATAATTTTGCAATGGTGAGTTTCATATCTTTAAATGATGACTATCGCAGTTTTCATAGTCTAGGTAAACAATTAAAATAAGATAATTAGGTGAATGTAATGGAATAAATACTTGTAGACTTGTCATAATTTGGAATCTGAAGTTAAAATAATAATAGATATTTCATTATTTGAATATTTTTTAATAAAAATATATTGTAGGAAAACATTCTAAAAAAAGTGTCTTTTTAAAAAAGGTGAACAACTTTTGTCTAATTCAAAGCATTTTTAAAGGTTATGGGTCAGTCATGGTGGCTCACGCCTGTAATATCAGGACTTTGGGAGGCTGAGGCAGGTGGATCACCTGAGATCAGGAGATCAAGACCAGCCTGACTGACATGGAGAAACCTCGTCTCTACTAAAAAAATACAAAATTGGCCAGACACGGTGACTCACGCCTGTAATCCCAGTACTTTGGGAGGCCGAGGCGGGTGGATCACGAGGTCAGGAGATTGAGACCATCCTGGTGAACACGGTGAAACCCCGTCTCTACTGAAAATACAAAAAAATTAGCCGGGCGTGGTGGTGGGCGCCTGTAGTTCCAGCTTCTAGGGAGGCTGAGGTAGGAGAATGGCCTTAACCTGGCAGGCGGTGGAGCTTGCAGTGAGCCGAGATCGTGCCACTGCACTCCAGCCTGGGCGACAGAGCAAGACTCCGTCTCAAAAACAACAACAACAACAACAAAAAACAACAACAACAAAACAAAATTAGCGAGGCATGGTGGCACATGCCTGTAATCTGACCTCCTCGGGAGGCTGAGGCAGGAGAATCACTTGAACCTGGGAGGCGGAGGTTACAGTGAGCTGAGATCAAGCCATTGCACTTCAGCCTGGGCAATAAGAGTGAAACTCCGTCTCATAAAAAAAAAAAAAAAAAAAAAAATTCAATGCAGTGCAGAAGGGTGCTATAATGAGCCACCTTTGTTCTCAGTGGCACCCAACCTGAGTATGCTGTTGTTTCTGTTAGCACTTCAAGTTAGGTGATATGGAAACCATCTACTTTGTAATTTTCTGTTTCATGTGGTATTTCTAATTCTAGGGTGAATTTTCATTTCTCAAACACTGGATTTAAGTTTGAAACAGTATGACATGTATTTATTTTAAAAATTATGTTCCTACTGGTTATTCAGAGATAAATAGGATCCAGGTGGCCTCCTGAGGCCTTTCAGTAATATAAAATCTCCTCTTAACATTGCCAAAGTGTATGAGTTTCTAAATACTTTACATAGAATCGTAATACTTATATTATTGCAGTGGGTTACCTCTTGCATCTCTACACATGAGCTTTGATTTCCTTTAATATTTTCTTGGTTCAAGTCCAGACCTCCTCCACAGAAGTAAAAGGTTATTGCTTTGGTGTGGCAAAACACCAAATGTGTACCCTGTATTTACAAACACAATGTATCAGAAAGGTTCCAAAGTCTAAATGCATTATTTTAATTCTCTGATGAAATGGAAATAATCTTGAATAGATCTAGAATATAATATCCTAATCACTAGTTTCAAAAGACTTGAGAGAACAGGCCAAGTGAAGACCAAACCGAGTTGGTCTAGTTGGGGCTGGAGCTAAAGTAACTAAACCACAGAGATTGGTTTTGCTTGCTGGGGATATGGAGGGGGTTTGCAGGAAAGTAAGAGGTAGGCTGGGCATGGTGGCTCATGCCTGTGATCCCAGCACTTTAGGAAGCCAAGGCAGGTGCATTGCTTGTGCCCAGGACTTCAAGACTAGCCTGGGGCAAGTGGCAAAATCTTGTCTCTACAAAAAACAACAAAAACAAAAAAGGTAGCCGGGAGTGGTGGTGCATGCTCGTAGTCCCAGCTACTCTGGTGGCAGAGGTGGGAGGATCACTTGAGCTCAAGGGTTTGAGATCAGCCTGGGCAACAGGGTTGAAACTTTGCTCTACAAAAATTAGCCAGTGTGGTGGTGTGAGCCTCTGGTCCCAGTTGCTTGGGAGGCTGAGGTGAGAGGATTGCCCTTGAGCGCAGCAGGTGGAGGTTTCAGTGAGCTATGATCACGCCACTGCATTCCAGCCTCGGTGACAAAGCGAGACCCTGTCTCAACAACAACAACAACAAAAAAATCTCGTCCAATAGAAAGTTCTCTGATGTTAGAAATGTTTTAGAATCTGCACCGTCCAATATGATACCCTCTAGCCATTCATGGCTACTGAGCAATTGAAAGTTGGCTGGTAAAAATGAAGAACTGAATTATAATTGTATTTTGTTTTAATTAATTTAAATTTAAATAGCCACATGTGACTAGTGTCTAGCATATTGAACATCATAGCTGTAAATTAGAGTGCTTTTAGGGACTGTCTGCTTGAAATATATAAGAGTTAGCTTTTTAGAATTTCCCTGACATGTTTTTTCAGCCATTTATATTTGAGCATGTTATATACCGTTTGGTGTGCAATGAAATATACAGCAATATCCCTATCTTGGAGAAAAAAGCAAACAAGTAAAAATTAAAATAAGCAAAGAGAGACAATACAGAAACACGAGAGTTGCCATAATACACTTTAATCTTCATCACAGAAGAGTTACCCCAAGTGTAGAGGACTTCAGAAAAGCAAGAGTGCTTTCCAGGTTGTAGGGTTTGTAGGAGGAAGGGACTGGTTATTGAAGCATGTTATATGTCTTGGGTAGGTAGAAAGAAAGGAAAGGAAATTTCAAGAGGCGGCTTGGTATAAATAAAACTGGGAGGGTAGGAAGCTGTAAGATGTGACTAGGAACAAGTAAGTAGGCTAATTTGCTGGAATATGGAGGTGGTTTGGAAGGTGAAGCTGGAAGTGAAGGCTGGAGTCGTTATGGTTACAGCTGCTTTTGAATTCATAGCTAAAAGCTTGGGATTTGTCTTTCAGGCAGTGAAAATTCAGTCATTGAGGGATTTTGAGCTAAGGAACAACATAATAAGAGTCTTGTTAAGGAAAATAACCTTACCATATGTATGAAATAGAGAGAAAGAAGTTAGGAAGCTATTACATTAGTTGAGACAAGAAGTAAAAGGTTTCTGAACCAGAAGGATGGCTATAGAAATAGAGGGAAAACAAGGAATGGTTAGATGGAAATACTGTAAGAGATTTCATAGATTAAAACTGACAGATTTTGCTGACAGATGAGAATGGATTGTGGCGGCACTGGGAAAGATGAATCAAAAGGTGACTCCAGGATTGTAGCATTAGCTGAAGGTGGGAGAGTGAGTCCAGTTAAATATATAGGCTGGTGAGAAATGGGGCCAGATGTATTACACTAGGACCCTGATGTTTTTCTTGGAGGGTTCCAAGAGGAAACTGAGTCATTTGACAGTTCACCACCAAAAAATTGCTGAAACGAACAGTCACTATTTACACATTAGTGATGCATTTAAAAATTAACTTGAACCAAAACTTAATCTGAAAATGTTAGTGTATTATCATGTGAGGACTGAAGCATTTTCAATATGTTAATAAGCACATGATTGTAGGAAATGTAAATATGATAATTGGCAATGATACCAGGATTGTAACTAGTGACTTACTGAGCTTCCCTCTCTCCATGTTGCCACCCTGCTGCCTGTCAGCACCTTGCCCCCAGCCTTTTTAATTTTTTTTTTAGTAGAGTGAACAAGAGCAAACACAATAAACTATTCTGATAACTGGAATCCGATATCACTTGTTGTGAGAATTAAACTTTCATTATTACCTAAATATACTGGGTAATAAACTAAAATATTTTTAGTTCTTTTTCTTCCTTACTAGAATTGGAAGTGGAAAGTTAGTCTGGTATCTGCCATTTTTTTCTTGTAATCTTCATCAAATCTCTCATTCTGAGCCACGGTGAAGTGTTTCTTCCAATCTCCCACTGCCCCTGAAATACAGTTATGTGGGAGAGGGTCAGTAGTTGTTGGAAGAGTCTGTACTTCCCTGTTCTCCTGTTTCTGTGTGATGATTTCTATGCCATGTTCCAGGAAGAGCAGTATTGGACAAAACGTTTCTCTTGCTATCCTGTCACTTCCTTATCCTGAAGGGAAGACAACTTTCCTGTCTGATTTGTGAGACGAGGAGAGCCTCTTACCACCTGGCTGCATTAGTGAGTGAGCAAGACCACTGTGTTACAACAGCAGGCCTGAAGGCTTTCTTGTCTTTCTCTGTGCCCTGCTGCACATCGAAGCATGGTGGGTGCTCATCACTGTAGCTCCCATGCTGTAAACTGACCAAGAAGGGCCTATTTCTGGGAGGCCCAAGGTACCATTTGAAGAAGAAAAAATATGACCCCTCCCCCAAATTCTCTGATTGTAATCCCTGTTACCTTTCCCAGTTTTATTTTTCTTAATGTTATCTATGTATTCTTTTATTTTGCTTATCACTAGAATATAATTTCCATGCAGGAATGAATTTTTGTGTTTTGTTCACTGCTGCAAACAGTGACTAGAACAGTGCCTGGCACATAGAAGCCCCTCAGTAAGTACCTTTGAATGACTGAATCTGATAGCATAGAACCGACTATAAAATGGATTCTTTCCCCTCTCTGACTTAATTCCATATATTTTCATGTTATTAGCCAGAACTCTTAAGGGAAAGTCGAGATAAGTGGTTGGATTTAGACATCAAATCTTACTCTCTGAATCTTAATAATAATTGGCTAATTAAATACTATTTTCATTTTATCAGTGGCTTCTTAAATACTTCTTTTCTCCAAATCATTTATTAAAGATATTATTTTTTCCTAGCCATAGGAAAGAAAACTCCTCTCAAATGCTATAAAATATTTGACAGTTCTTTTAAGATTATAACGAAAAGAAACTATAAAAACCTTTTCTCATGAATGGAGAAATGGAGTGGTCCATGATTTCAGCAGGAATCGATGAATAGTTTGCCATTGAATTCTGTTTCATAACATCAAATGAAGTGTAATGGACAATTTTATCTAGAACTTTGTCATCTAGTTTCTTCTCAATAAATTCTGTTAGCTTCTGAACTTCATGCTTTGGGTTCTATGATCAGAGTCAAAAGAAGAGTAATGATTTAATAGAATTAGTTTAAAAAGAATATTGTGATGGATTAATGACAGTAACCGGTAACATATTCGAGTTAAAATAAAAAACAAATCTTAACAAATGCTCAAGTGACTCATTTTAACGTGGTGACCAATATTGTTCTTTTTTCAGTAATTGGAATCACTAATAATTTTTTCCCCTTAATATGTAATCAACTGGGTAAGGTTAGTGAAACATTCACCAGACAATGACGTACAGTGCCTAGTGAATGGTTCACTGAGGGAGTGTGCCGGGGTTATGTCCACAAGCCCTGCGCAAGGCATTTCAGAAGCACAGGGGCAGAAGATGTAAGACCTGACCAAGAGGAAGCTATATCCTGTTTCTGACATTGACAGAAATGTCCCCAGACTGCAGTGATGGCAGGAGGAGGGGAGAGAAATTTTTATTTTTATTTTTTGCATATGTCAAGAGGTACCCATGGCTAGTACCTCTGGTACCAGACCACCAAGTCAAGTGGAACTGAGAGTAGCTCAGTTCCAGTGTAACCACTGCTTTCTCCTCAGAGGGACATACAACCTTGTGACATCACTGTGGCTGTGGGACTCCTCCATCTCTGGGAGCAGGTAGCGGGTGGGAAGGGAAAGTGGAAGCGCTTACCCCGACCATTGTGTCTGTAGTGGGCTTCTGCTTTAAAAGCTTGTATGTTAGAAATGTTTCATTTAATTGACCTCACACAGACTAGGAATCAGAGTACTGAGAATTGTGAGCTTTGTAAGGGGACATTCCCAAATAAGATCACAGCAATATTTTAAAAAGTTTTAGGGACTCTGAGGTTAGATTACTTGTTTCGGTAAAGTTTCTTCCTGGCATGCATAATACTCTAGGGTCTACCTAAGCAAAAGAGCCCGATTCCCGGCGACATATCCTTTCTCTGACATGGCTATGATACACGCCGTAGACAAACATCTGCCTGGAGTCTTCCTAAGGGGCACAACACTGTTGTACCAAGTAAAAACAATGTAAACACAAGGAGGGAATTTTATACTGATAACCTCATAGGTTGTTCTGCTGGTTCTTTAGTCATGCTTCTGAAAATCCTAGAGCTATAACAATTATTTTAAAAACCACATGAAAATGGTCTGTGTTTTCCACTCCTTTGATATTTTGTAGAAATCACTGATATCACAAGGCCCAGCAGTGATTGAACCTTAGAGAAGTGCATCTAAATGGTGATGTGCGCTTGAATCTCGTGGGAATTTTATAAAACTCCAGACTCAGCAGGCCTAGAGCAGGCTCCAGTAGCTTATGCAAACTAGTCTGTGAAGTACCTGTTGAGTATCAAGGCTTTCAATGACCAATTCAAGAACAGAGACTATAATTCTGTATAGAGCTCTGTATTTAGTGGGGTCACAGAAAGTAGCAGAGTAGATGATTATTTACAACAAACATCCGCTGATATTATCTCATTTAGTCCTCAAATAAATCTTGAATAGGTAAGTCTTATTATCTTCATTTTTACATTTAAGAAAACTAAGCCCCCAAGATGTTAAGTGTCCTTTAGCCACGGAATTGACCGAACTTGATTTCCAAAACATTTTGGAATCTAAATCCATTATGCGCATTGAACCAGCTTCCTAAACTGTTTTCTTAAAGCTATTTTGGCTGGCGCGTCGTGCTCACGCCCTATAATCCCAGCACTTTGGGAGGCGGGGGGCAGATCACAGGGTCAGGAGATAGAGACGCATCCTGGCTAACACGGTGAAACCCCGTCTCTACTAAAAAATACAAAAATTAGCGAGCGTGGTGGCGGGAGCCTGTAGTCCCAGCTATTCGGGAGGCTGAGGCAGGAGAATGGCGTGAACCCGGGAGGCGGAGCTTGCAGTGAGCCGAGATCGGGCCCACTCCATCCCAGGCTGGGCGACAGAGCAAGACTCCGTCTCAAAAAAAAAAAAACAAAAAAAAAAAAAAAAAAAAAGGTATTATGTTCCTCAGTGCTAATAAAAAAAACAAAAACTCCGGGCACGGTAGTTCATGCCTGTAATCCTAGCACTTTGGCAGGCGGAGGTGGGTGGAACACTTGAGGTCAGAAGTTCAAAATCAGCCTGGCCAACATGGTGAAACCCCGTTTCTACTAAAAGTACACATAATTAGCTGGGTGTCGTGGCAGGCGACTGTAATCCCAACTACTCCAGAGGCTGAGGCAGGAGAATTGCTTGAACTTGAGATCGCGTCACTGCACTCCAGTCTGGGCGACAGAGTGAAAGTCCTCTGTCTTAAAACAACAACAACAACAACAACAACAACAACAACAAAACAAAACCAAAGAAACCAAAATGTGCTAGGATTTTTTTCCTGCTAAACTGCATTTTAAAATAGATATGCAAGGGAGAAATGACACAATCCATATTGGGTAATAACCTCCCTGTAAGGGAAATGTGCAGCATCCTGGGGAGCACCAGGAAGCTGCAGGTGAGACTGTGTGATACTTAAACTCATGATCAGCCATGTGCATTTGGACAAATGACAGCTGTAGCCAACGAAGTGCAGCAATTTTCTGTTCCCCACATCAATCTGAGTCCCTGATGGGGTCAATACATTATGACTTAAATGTTTTATGGCCCAGTGGGCACACATTAGATGGCACTGTGCTCACCTTCTTCATGTCCTCATAGAAGAGGTAGAGAATACGGTGTTTGTCTTTGGCTTCCCACCATCCTTTCACATGTTCATGCCAGGAGCCCCAGCACACTGGAAGATGGGATGGAAAACAGGGCAATGAGTCACAGAGGTCCTATTATCTCTCTGAAAGGAGAATTCCTGAAGTGAGAGAGTTCCATTAGAGAAGGTAGAGCCCCTGCCGTTCAAAAGAAAGGATTCTTTCCTTCTAGGGTGTTTGGAGATTTTGAGAAATGAAGGGAAACAAAACTAAATTCTCTCACCTTTCCCAGCCAGAAAAGTCTCAAAATACTCTTCCCATGTTCCTGGATCAGGAAGTGCTTTATTCATTCTTTGGAAATGGTAATAGGACACCATGTTGTCCTTGGGATTTCTTGCTACATAGATTATCTGGGAATGATGAGGGGAGGAGAGGGAAGAAGCAAAAAAAAAAAAACACAGGATTTTTTCTTTTTCTTTTTTTTTTTTTTTTTGCTATTACTGCCCAGGCAACTCATGTTAGGGTGGATACATTTCATACAGTTCAGTTTTTCTGAGGCTGCATTTTTGTCATCCTGGTTATGGGAGACTTTTTTGTTTTGTGTTGTTGTTGAGACAGAGTCTTGCTCTGTCACCCAGGCTGGAGTGCAGTGGCGCCATCTTGGCTCACTGCAACCTCAGCCTCCCGTGTTCAAGCAAGTCTCCTGCCTCAGCCTCCCGAGTAGCTTGGATTACAAGCATGTGCCACCCCATCCTGCGAATTTTGTGTTTTTAGTAGAGGTGGGGTTTCACCATGTTGGTCAGGCTGGTCTCGAAGTCCTGACCTCAGCTGATCCACCCATCTCAGTCTCCCAAAATGCTGTGATTACAGGCATAAGCCACTGTGCCTGTCTAGGATTCGTATTAATTTGTGTATTGATGATTGTGAAGAGGTAGACTTTTTTTTTTTTTTTAAACAAGTGAAGTATTTGAAGAGGAAATGGAAGACTAAGGTTGTTTTAAGGAGTACAGCTCTGAATTCCTTTTGCTTTTTACCTTACAGTTTTTCTCTAGGAAGGATGGTGGCAGCAAGTGAAAAGGAAGATGTGTTTTCAGGATCCGTGGTGAGGGCATTGCATGAGCTTGTTCCAAACCTGCAAAATTGGTTTTTGATCAATTTCTACTATTTTTTTCTCTATTTGCTTCCAGGTTCTGCTGCTTCCGTTATTGCTACTACAGGTCAAAGCATCTGCAAGAACATTATAACTATAGATCTGGTGTGAGAGAATATGTCTAGCCCATGAAGAGATGTTTGGCTAGAACTATTCCTAACCATAACAGTCAACCAAATAAATAAGAACCTAAAAAATTCAAATCCTTTCACCAGGGTTATCTTCCTTGAGCTTATCCTTTTGAAGTAAAATTAATTTCTAACTAGAGAAACAAAATTTAACTCACTTTTGTATAAACAATAATTCCATTAGAAAACGTCTGTAGTATAACAGTGGCCAGACACAGTTAAAAAAAGACAAAACCACAAAACTCACCAATCATTGTTTGAAAGCCTATAATTTTGAAAGGTTCAAAGACAGTAAAAATCCTAAGTGCATTTTAGGACTGTAGTGAAGTGTGGCTATTCCATACTTACCAGATCCTAAGGATGGGATTTTCCATTCCAGGAAAGGAAATCGTTGATGAGTTGGTGCCCGTTTACTTTTCTCCACATCACCTTCATTTTGTATTAATTCCACTATCTCCTGTGTCCATGTTGTTCCTTATCCCACATGTAAAATGAAGATGAATGGACATTTAGTACAGCATATTCCTTAAAATATGATCAAATACTTGTTAGAACTTGTTAGAACATCTATGTCTTTTTTTTTTTTTTTGAGACAGGGTCTTGCTCTGTAGCAAGGCTAGAGTTCAATGGTGCAATCTCAGTTCACTGCGACCTCTGCCTCCTGGGTTCAAATGATCTTCTCACCTCAGCCTCCTGAGTAGCGGGGGTTACACGTTTTTTTTTTTTTAAACAAGTGAAGTATTTGAAGAGGAAATGGAAGACTAAGGTTGTTTTAAGGAGTACAGCTCTGAATTCCTTTTGCTTTTTACCTTACAGTTTTTCTCTAGGAAGGATGGTGGCAGCAAGTGAAAAGGAAGATGTGTTTTCAGGATCCGTGGTGAGGGCATTGCATGAGCTTGTTCCAAACCTGCAAAATTGGTTTTTGATCAATTTCTACTATTTTTTTCTCTATTTGCTTCCAGGTTCTGCTGCTTCCGTTATTGCTACTACAGGTCAAAGCATCTGCAAGAACATTATAACTATAGATCTGGTGTGAGAGAATATGTCTAGCCCATGAAGAGATGTTTGGCTAGAACTATTCCTAACCATAACAGTCAACCAAATAAATAAGAACCTAAAAAATTCAAATCCTTTCACCAGGGTTATCTTCCTTGAGCTTATCCTTTTGAAGTAAAATTAATTTCTAACTAGAGAAACAAAATTTAACTCACTTTTGTATAAACAATAATTCCATTAGAAAACGTCTGTAGTATAACAGTGGCCAGACACAGTTAAAAAAAGACAAAACCACAAAACTCACCAATCATTGTTTGAAAGCCTATAATTTTGAAAGGTTCAAAGACAGTAAAAATCCTAAGTGCATTTTAGGACTGTAGTGAAGTGTGGCTATTCCATACTTACCAGATCCTAAGGATGGGATTTTCCATTCCAGGAAAGGAAATCGTTGATGAGTTGGTGCCCGTTTACTTTTCTCCACATCACCTTCATTTTGTATTAATTCCACTATCTCCTGTGTCCATGTTGTTCCTTATCCCACATGTAAAATGAAGATGAATGGACATTTAGTACAGCATATTCCTTAAAATATGATCAAATACTTGTTAGAACTTGTTAGAACATCTATGTCTTTTTTTTTTTTTTTTGAGACAGGGTCTTGCTCTGTAGCAAGGCTAGAGTTCAATGGTGCAATCTCAGTTCACTGCGACCTCTGCCTCCTGGGTTCAAATGATCTTCTCACCTCAGCCTCCTGAGTAGCAGGGGGTTACACGTATGCACAATCACCCTTGGCTAATTTTTGTACTTTTTGTAGAGACAGGATTTTACCATGTTGCTCAGGCTGATCTGGAACTCCTGAGCTCAAGTGATCTGCTTGCCTTGGCCTCCTAAAATCCTGGGATTACAGGTGAGAGTCACCCTGACTGGACCATCTATGTGAATTTAAAAGATAGGTTTTAAATGGGATTCAGAAGATAGCATTCCTTATTTATATGTTATTATCATAATATGAATTTTAAAAAAATACTCCAATTTTGAATGGACATTAGACTGATAAATATATATTTTTTTCTGTCACAACTATTTATTTGGATTGTTATTGTTCTCTTGATTTAGCTGTATTGTCCTTAGAAAGGGCATTCTCCCCAAATTGTGGTCTCCTATAGAGAAATGACTAAATGGCTTTCAAACTCTCTTTTTCCTAGTCACATAGCATAGGAGACACTTAGTATTTGTTGGCTGAATAAATGAACCGTTAGGGTTTGAACTTGATATTGACTATTAACACTTAGTATTCATTTTTCTATTTTCTCTGTTTCCCCCATATTTCATGGGCTGAAAGGCTATAAAAGGCCTTCCCTAAACTCCTTTGCCACTAAGATTCTGAAGGCTATTTAGATCCCTCCAGTGAGATGCATTAGCCTGAGTTTTGGAAGGCAGTGGGGAGATAGAAGTCATCTTTCCTGAGGAGGTGTCTGCTGATAGTAGCCCCAGCCCAGCAGATAGAAATTTTGCAAAGACCATTCCACGTCCCATGGCCCAGTGCCCTAGACCCAACCACTGCCACTGTGGCCATAGGTAGAATGGAATCCCCCAGTTTCAGTCTGTCTGTGTCTTGCACTGATCCTGACTTATACAGTGATATTGTGCTATCAACATAATCTTTACCCTTTGATGAATATCTGTTGCACCAGTTGTTCTGGCAAAATCCAGGTTAAGAGGATGTTGAGTTATTTTAAGACGGCTTTTTTATGCAGAGACAGGGTCTTGCTCTATTGCCCAGGCTGGACTGCTGTGGTGGGATCCTAGCTCTGTGCAGCCTCCCAACTCCTGGGCTCAATGGTCCTCTTGCTTCAGCCTCCCAAATAGCTAGGACTATGAGTACACGCCACCACACCTGGCTAATTTTTAATTTTTTTTTTTTTGTAGATAGGAGTCTCCCTATGTTGCCCAGGCTGGACGCAATCTTCTGGCCTCAAACGATGCTCCTGCCTTGGCCTCCCAAAGTGATGGGATTACAGGTGTGAGCCACCATGCCTAGCCAGGATGGCTTTCTGAATCCTGATCTGGGTTGATCTTTCCTGTATTATCTGGCTGAAGTTCTATAGATTCCTTTTCTGATATTCTCAATTTAGTGCTTTTAAAGGCCTAGAATAAGGGCATAAGTTAGAAATAAATTAAATTATATTTTATATTTTATATGAGTCGGTCTCCTGTATTTTCTGGCAGCAACTTTTATTACAGGACGAAGGGTCAAGATATCTTTAGTTATCCATGCAAAGAATATTCCAGCCATTTGTACTAGTTTTATGACAATTCATAGCCATAACACTGAATGTCTATAATGAATGAATTGAATGAATTTATAGACATGAGCCAACATGAGGGCAGATTGAAATGTTGCTAGAGGTTCTGTGGTGAGTGGAATGACTTCTCAATTTATTCTCTAGAGGTCAGTGATTCCATGATGTATTTTTTCTTGTCATTCAGAGTATTATTCTTTTAAAAATTTAGGGTGAACTATTTTTGCCATCTATGCTTGTTTCTTCTTCCTTTTAATAAAATAGATTTCATTAACGTATATGGTTCTAGTTATGATTAAATATTACTTTAGATGGCAAGCATTTAATTTTCTTAGTGTGCTTTTTGAATTGCTTAAACCTCATTAATGCCATGAAAAACCTAAATGAACCATGTCTTAGTACTTGCATTTGGCAGGTAGAGAAAAGATTATTTAGGTACCGAATTGATAATCAAGTGGAATTGTCGATGAAGTTAAGATGATAAGATGTGATCCTCACCAGTGGCTACTTTTAGAAATTTACATTCAGACAAATTTGATCCTGAATGCGCTCCCGATGAGTAAGTTTGGGAAATCAGGACCAACATGAAACAGACAGACAAAGAAGAGACCAAGGCCTCTGTGTTCCTGCAGAATCTTCTGTCAGGCTCTTGAGAGATAAGAACAAAAGAGGGTTTTGAACAGTCTCAGAAAATACTGAGGTTTAGATTTTTTGGTGTGTGTGTATTTGTGTGTGTATAACAAGAGTTTTTGACAGCTTGATTTTGCAAAGAGCAAATGTATATATAATTTGTGTGTAGACCGAGTAAACTATTTCTGGTAGATATGTAGATATGCAAAAATATTTATAGAGAACTATTTCCACCTCATCATCCCCCAATTTTTATGATGTGGTTGCTGGGCTCAAGCTAGTCCTACTTTTACAGACAACTTTGTTGAACTGATTGTTGAGATAAGAGAGTTGGTTCACAATTTACCACAAAGGAAGGTGGACATCAGAAGGATGGTTCTCAGACTGTGAGATGGGAGGGCTGCTGAGGTGGTATCAGCATTGCAGAACCAAAGCTCCCCTACTTCTTTCCCAAATCAGCCTCGGGACCCCCTTTCTAGCTCACACACTCAAAGCAGCTTTTTACAAGATTTGCAATAAGGGCCTAGATTGGGAACGAATAAATAAACAAGTATACCCTTTTGCTCTTAGCTGTTTTCACTGTCTCCTGGGAAAGTAAAAAAAAAAAAGAAAAAAAAGTAAGTACATCATAACATCATAGGAAGGTTGAATTCTAAAAATTTGTGTGTCATTTTAGTATGTTTCGGTATAGCTTCAGTTTCCACTAGTAACTTTCTTTAGCTGTATCACTCTGTCCAGTAGAGTTTTCCAGATCAACTTCTTTATTTCATGACTAATGCATCCTTCCCACTTACCTTCCTAACTCTCCTCTTCCCCTTCCCCTGTAAGCCCTTCCACCTACCTGCTTTAGGATAGGTAGAAATAAGCAGGTCATCAGGCTTGGCTTGGAAGTTCCAGATCTCATCCCAGATGTCACAGGTGACTGTGGGTTGAAGAATTCCCTTCATGTAGTTGACACTTAAGCGCTTTGTTCCATCAAATGTAAAATCCTCCATCTTGTGTAAGGCCGCTAGTATAGGAAATCAGAGGGCTCTTCCAGACACAAAGTTATCTCTCAGTCAGCATATGGCTGCATTGTGGATAGAGGCAGCTCTCTGTCCACCACTCTACCACACTATCCAGCCCTCTAGCATAGGCCTGTCTGGGAAAGCCTGGTGCTGGCCAGCAAACAGACAGAAAGTGAACTGCAGGCCTCCCGACTCAGGTTCCAGGGAACTGGAACTCTTGTTTGAACTTTGTCCGCTGGCTGTTTCCTGAGGACTGCAGCCCCCTCCCTACCAGGCTGTGACGTCACAGCAGAGGCGGTCATAAACCCTGCTGTCTGGGTCCCGTTCCAGCCCTTCTGTTCTCTGTAAGTTAACAGGACATAGTGTCACATTGTTTATATCCCTCATCTCTGTATCCATTAAACCCTTCACAGATATTTTCATTAATTGTTTCTTAGTTGTAGGATTTGCCTGTGAAATTACAGATTCTACACAGAATGACTTCCCTGAGAGACTGCAGGGACTTTCCCATGGGCTATTAACAGTGGTGGCCTGGATGGATCTGAACCTCCCAGTACAAACATCTGCCAGGGTCAGCTTTGTTATTTTTTAAGAGTAACATAAATATTGCGAAACTGGAGAAGGCTCCTTCCTTTGTAGGGATTTCATCACAGCCATGAAAACATGCATGCCTCATTTAAAGCAAAATGGATGCAGAAAACTCCAGAGTTAACAGAAGACAGTGGCTGCCTTAGGAATCCATTCTGCCCCTGGCAATCAGACATTTTACAACTTGCTTCAGTCCCTGCCCCCAGCCTGGCCTGCACCCCAGGGCCGTGCCACACTTGCTCCCCATGGCAGCACTCCTTCTTCTGGAGATCTTGTTGGCTCTTGTGTGTCTGGCTCTTGTCTGATTCTCTTTCTTCATGTCCCAGCTTGTGTGCCCCCTTTCTGGAGAAGTCTTCTTTGACTTTCAGTGTCATCTCAAGTAGGTCCCTCCTATTTCCCTGCTCATGGCAACTTGTGTTCCTTTAGAGCAACCATTGACAGTTAGTTTTGCTTGTTTACTTGTTGCCATTTTCTGTCTCCTTCACTATAAGGAGCATGAAATGGGGTCTGTTGTTTTCTCACTGTTTGCCAGCTGTATGCCTAGTGCCTGGCATCCTTCTATTTCTCGAAAGAATGAACGAGTAAAACTAAGCAAAAATTGAGGAAGCGAGTTCTTTGGGCCATGATTATGTGGGGACTAGGTGAGTATAGTGACTGTGGCTTGACATCCTTCAGACAGATGTCAGGCTGCCTGTATTTGGATCCTGTGCCAACTCCCAGTAGCTGTGGGCAATGGCAGGTTACAGAATCTCTCTGTTTCATATCACGCTTTTCCTCAGGTTTGAATTGAGGATCTTAACATTTCCTACCTAATAGCATGGTTGTGGGGAGATAAAACAGCTTATTTAATGCTTGGGAACAGGGAAATGTTGAATAAATTGTAGTTATTAATAATAATCAGTGACTTTGTGCACCATTTCTCTGTGGTCCACTTTCTGGATGCAAACTCAGAAAAGATCAGTTCTTTGGCTTTCCCTGTTCCTCATCCCCTCCCTCCTGGCCATGGTGAGGTGGATGGGCCTTTGAGACAGAGACTACCAGGTGGAATGCCTGGGATGCATATGCATTTAAACAGACTGATAAAAATCACCTATAATTTTTCAGTTAGATTTTGTTCTACAATCTTTTCAGCCCTGTGTGCCATCAGAGTACAGTGGTAGATATTTGGCAATGCCTTAGCAGTTTTGACTAGTGCGTTGTGTGCTAGAGGGGGAGGGCTGGGAGACGGGGGAGGTTATGCTCCCGGACCCAAAGATGACTGATTGGCATTGAAAATAGATTCAGGAAAGATAGAAAGTTCCAAATAATCTGAAAAGTGATCTCGACTACAAACACTGCTCTTACTCTCACTTAATGTTTTTACTCAATAGTACTTTCTCATTAGGTTAGGAGAATTAAACAGAAGTATTTAGTGATTATAAGAATAAAATTGGTGCTAAGTCTACATTTGACAAGCATTGCTTTGGAATTCTAAATATATGGGTTTGAATTTAAACGACCCCTTAATAGCTGTGTAACTTTTCTAGTACTTATCTCTTCTGAACCTTTCATTTTTTGTTAATCTCACTGGGTTAATGTAAAGTTGGATGTAAATAAGGTAGCCTGTAGTCTTGGGACATATTGGTTACCCAAGACAAAGCGAATACACTCTCCTCCTCTAATTCTTCCCTGAACCTCCTTTCAACCCTGTCACTGTTTGTTTCTGAGCATGGAGAGGAGATTCCAACTCTCAACGCACTTTAGACGTCCTTGTTATAATCGTCCTTGTTATAATCCACCATCTTGTTCAGGCCTCTAATGTGATTCATTTGCAAAATTTATAACTGGGATTTCCAAACTCTTTTTTTTTTTGTTAGGAAAATCCAGAATGCTGGTTACTACCCTTAAACAGGTCTCTGTTTGTTTGCTTTTTGTAAAAGGAATATGTCTAAAAGATGTTTTGACTCAGCACACTGTTTTAAAAGACACCCGGCCAGGCGCGATGGCTCATGCCTGTAATCCTGGCACTTTGGGAGGCCAAGGTGGGCAGATCACCTGAGGTCAGGAGTTCGAGACTAGCCAGGCCAACGTAACAAAACCATGACTCTACTAAAAATACAAAAATTAGCCAGGTGTGGTGGTGCATGCCTGTAATCCCAACTACTCAGGAGGCTGAGGCAGGAGACTTGCTTGAATCTGGGAGGTGGAGGTTGCAGTGAGCCCAGACTGTGCCACTGCCCTCCAGCCTGGGCGACAGAGCAAGACTCCGTCTCAAAAAGAAAAAAACCAAAAAGACACCCATTGGAGAGTGAACTAAGCCTGTGTTGAAAAATTTGAATCGAAATGGTCTTTGATCTTTGAATCAATATTTAGCATAGGGTTATTATAAATTACTTATTTGTTGTTCAGTACTTGGAAGCAAAGCAAGAGGAAGAACTAACAAGTCCACATAATTAAAACTGGAATCAAATCCAGATTGTTTAATTATTGATAAATATCTATGGTTTATTCATAACTTTTCTCCCTTCCTCTATTTAGATGGCCTTAAGGTCACTCTATTTGCAGTGCACTATTCCAGAAGCTGAGTAGGGAGAAAATGAAACTCAAGTGAATTATATTACTCTTTGCTATAATACTTTAATCAGCTTCAGAGATTGAGGGTAATTGTGAGTTCTTAGTGAGGGGAAGCAAGGATGTAGGCAATCTGTAATTTCAGACAATTCCTTAAAACACAACCTAAGAACCTCTTACATTCTCAGAAAAAATGAAAAGCTGTGTCAAATGGTGGGTCATGTAGAGCTTCCAGCTGTAGCAAATATAGATACAGGAAGCCCAGTTAAATTTGAATTTTAGATAAACAGTGAATTAATTTTTAGTACATGCATTTTCTGTGCAATATTTGGAAGATGAAGGGGTGGCCTACCCCTCCACACCTGTGGGTATTTCTCATCAGGTGGGACGAGAGACTGAGAAAAGAAATAAGACACAGAGACAAAGGACAGAGAAGGAACAGTGGGCCCAGAAGACCAGTGCTCAGCATACAGAGGATGTACACCAGCAGTGGTCTCTGATTTCCCTCAGTATTTATTGATTAGTATTTTCACTATCTCAGCAAGGGGAATGCGGCAGGAGAACAGGGTGATAGTGGGGAGAAGGTCAGCAAGAAAACATGTGAGCAAAGGAATGTGTGTCACAAGTTCAAGGGAAGGTACTATGCCTGGATGTGCACGTGGGCCAGATTTATGCTTCTCTCCACCCAAACATTTTCGTGTAGTCAAGAATAACAGAGCAGCATTGCCACCAGCATGTGTCACCTCCTGCCACAGGGCGGTTTTTCTCCTATCTCAGAATAGAACAAAAGTACAATCGGGTTTTATACCGAGACATTCTGTGTAATGTCCCAGGGGCAGGCAGGAGACAGAGGCCTTTCTCTTATCTCATCTGCAAGAGACCTTCCTCTTTCACTAATCCTCCTCACCACAGACCCTTCATGGGTGTCGGGCTGGGGGACGGTCAGGTCTTTCCCATCCCATGAGGCCATATCTCAGGCTATCTCAGTGGGGAGAAACCCTGGACAATACCTGGCTTTCCAGGGCAGAGGTCCCTGCGGCTTTCTGCAGTGCATTGTGCCCCTGGTTTATTGAGAATGGAGAATGGCGATGACTTTTACCAAGCGTACTGCCTGTAAACATATTGTTAACAAGGCACATCCTGCACAGCCCTAGATCCCTTAAATCTTTATTCCATAGAACACGTGTTTTTGTGAGCACAAGGTTGGGGCTAAAGTGACAGATTAACAGCATTTCAAGGCAAAACAATTGTTAAGGGTACAGATCAAAATGGAGTTTGTTATGTCTTCCTTTTCTACATAGACACAGTCACAGTCTGATCTCTCTTTGCCCGACATATCCCCCTTTTCTTTTTGACAAAACCGCCATCGTCATTATGTCTCGTTTTTGCTGGTTGCTGTCTCTTTGGAGCTGCTGGATATACCTGTAGACTAACAACAGACAGAACAGGCATGCAAGGATTGATACAGAATTTACAATAGTGGAACTTTTGATGGTTTTAACCCAAGTGATGGGGTTAAGATTTGTGAGGCCAGCAGCAGCTTTTACGATTGCCTCAGTTCCTGGCACCACATTTAAATGGGCTTGTGATACCTCAAAAATTTGTTCTTTTAATTTTGAAATATCTAAAGTAAGATTATTTTCTCTTTCTTGTAGATGGCATTTAACCATGTCTCAGTGATGCTCAGACTCATTATGGGCTCGGGGTGTAATACAGAAATCTGACATATTCTAGTCACACTGTAACTGAAAAAGATATTTCAAGCACATGAGCCTATCTCCCATCCAAATGACAGTTTGTCTAAGATCATTAATTTGGTTTGCCAATTTTGATTTATTTGGGTCTGAGAATTCCACTATTTTGAGGAATTCTTTTGCCAATTATTTACATATTCTGCAGTTTGAACAGCAGCTGCAGCAGCAGCTGTGACTGCAGTAAGGCCCATAATCACTGTAATCAAAGTAAAAATAAATCTTTTGGATCTAGTTAGAACTCCTTTTAATACTTTTGTTAAAATACGGATGGATGACGAAGCCTCCCATGGTCGGTCTATGGACACAGGGATCCACACGCCCTCTCTTGCCCTCACCAGCAGAATATGGTGCTACCACTTAAAAGTTGAATCAATTCAAGGAAACAATCTACAATTTTCACAGTTGTAGTTTGGGAATCTGGTTTAATAATTATGTTTCCTACAACTAGCACATAAGGGGGTTTTACACAACTCTGCAAAGGAATTGTCAGATTGGAATTTAGGTGGATAGTATAATATGGCTTACGATCTCTTGTTCCTGTAGCTTGATTTCCAGACCAAATTTTAATGTGGTACGAGAAC